TGGACAACTAAGCCAATGTTTTGTAGACATTTTTAAAGTGTCCAAAATACAACACACACTCTTACTTTCTTCTATCACCACCCTTAGACTTGTTTCTCTTCCATGTTTTCTATCTCACAGCATCCACCATTCATCCTAGAGCCCACAGAAATCTTTGACTTTGTGCTGGGCCAGACTCCTTTCCCTCCAGGAGCTTTGCACCTTTCCTTCTCAGGTGTTCCTTTAGTTAGTTAATTCCTATGCATCCTGCTCATCTCAGGTAAAGTATTTATTCCTCTTTGATGTTCTCTCGGGTTGATTTTTCTACAAGCTATTTCAAAATAGATTTTTTTCTTCACAGAATTTATTGTTGTCTGAAGCAATATACATATTTGAGTAATTATTAAACAAATGACTATATCGCTCACTTCCCTACTCTTATCCAAGGGCATGGGAGTCATATTTATTTTGGTTTGCTATTTTGTTCTTGGCAAGATGAACAGTCCCTAACGCATGGAATGCTCTCAGTAAATCTCTTGGATGTTAAATGAGTGAATCCTTGGTGTTTCCTGATGGCTTTCAAATTCAACCAGTCACTATATGCTTTTGCTTCTATCTAATCACATATCTGATAAATCTGCTCTACGATCATCATCCCGGGACATTCCTTGGAGAAGGTCCTCAGCATGCCTTGCATGCCCTCAGCCTTGACTCTACCCACCAGATTTTCAGTTTAGACACAAACTTTCTTGTTCTGGAGTCTTTAAACACTCCCACATTTCTCAAGTAATAAATCTAAAGTTCTTAGACCAGTTTACAGGGTTTTCAACAACTTGACTTCAACCTCTTTTCCAATATTATCTCTCTACTTTATTCATTCCATGATTTAGTAATGGCAGAAGTCTCATGTGCCCTGAACACATCACATTCTTTTATTTTCTGCAATATAACCCCTCTGCTGTTTTGAACTCCTCTGCCATCTGTGTCTTGAACTATAGCATTTATGTGAATCTCACACTTTTAAATCAAACCCTTAACTCGGCAGGCTATTACAACCATTAGCCTCTAAGTACAATTGGCCAGTGATGAACAAAGTCATAATATGATGGTAAGAACTCTTTCTCTGACTTTAGACTCTGTCTTCTTTCCAGCTAAGGATATTCTGGTTACAGTTGCTAGGATTTTGCTCCCAATCATGTTTTATTGCCCTCAGTCTCTCCTTTCAACCTTCAGTCATCTTTCCTGGATCACCCACCTCTTGGGTCCTGCTTCAACCATGGTCATGGGAAACGTCTTCTTATCACACATGCTGATTTTATTTGTGAACTAAAACCCAGAGTGATTCCATTTTCTTGCCTTTTTACTGTACTGCTAATAATGGAGGGCACTTCTAGATTGATTGCTAATATATTTCACAACTTTTGAAGAAATTATATTTGAGGAGCTGGGTTATAACCTGAGTAACCATCCTGCTACTCTCAAAGTTCCTCATCTTGGTTTGATACACAAAATCTCATTTGAAAATTGAGGCCAGCTGTAAGTTCCACCTCCTTCAAACATTATTTTCAAGTGGATCTTATCAGATTCTCAGCCGAAACATTACTCCTGTCAGACTTCTTGGTAAACCAGTTTATTAAAATGATTCATGCACCTAAAACAAGAAATGGAAAGCCTAAATTGAAAAGATATCTCAAAATTGATGCATAAATGATCCAAGAGCGATTTGCTTTTGAAGTTCTAATAATGGATTATTTGTTGGTATTAGAAATCTCAAATTTACTTTTTCCAATACATTCTCTGACATTGTTTCACTAAAATATTATTTATGGTCCTACAATATGCTACAATATATGATTTATGAGGAGCTACAAGTCTGATTAATTAATTAGACAATTTACATATGCAGCTACTACAAAAACAGATTCTAGATCTCTTGAAGAATCAGGATAGGAAAAAGAGGTATTTCATGTTCAGTGAGGCTATTTCTGCCACTCATGGTTTGAAGTGGATCCTCTTCAAGGAATTTAGCTGAATGGAATTTGAACAGACTCTAATATGGTATAATAAGGTGAAATATCTTGACCTTCTGTATTTATAGTCATATTAGTCTGTAGTCTATTTATCACATTCTATTTCCTATTCTATCAATCTTATTTCCACTCCTTTATAAAAAAAAACAAAAACAGAAAAATCATCTATTTATGTTGATTATAAAACAAAAGAAAACCCTTTGTTCAGGAGGAGCACAGCTTTCCTTTATGCTGAATTCCCAGAGACATATTTCCTTTGTGTCATTTTTACAAAAAAAAATAGTATAATATATATATATATATATATATATAGTATAATATACATAAAGTACAAATGTAATCTATAATTTTTCCTCTAATAGGGTATAAAAGTGGTAATAGTCATGTGGCTGTATTTATGATGTCCTTTAAAGTAGAATTCATAAAAGAAATTCTATAAGAAATCACAAGTAGAGTCCATATGTGTGATTCTGAAGAACTAGAAAGAAGCAAGAAATTTAAAATTTCCTGAATTTCTTCACAAAAAAGTGGAAGTTTCCAAAGGTTTTTAGGAAACATGTTTACAGAAAAATTATATGGAACACACAGGGGTTTTGAGATTTAAATGCTTTTATTTTTTTTTCACTTTCCACATTTTTTTATTGGTACATTACTTGTACATAATGATGGTATTTGTTGTTATGTATTCGTACGTATACATGTCATAACAATATAATTTGGCCAATATCATTCTCCAATATTTCTACTGTCCCTCCCCAGCTCCCACCCTTGGTCCCTTTCCACTAGTGATCTCCCTTTGGTTTTCATAAGACACACACCCACTTTCTTTTCCTTTGTTCTCCCTACTTCCCAGTGTAAGTGCATTTAAAAGCTAAGTTAGCAAATTGATATAGCTAATTACATAAAGACTATTGGAGACAATGTAAACATATAAAGATGTCATGCCATCACAAAATCATAGGTGATCTGTGAATAATTTACAGTAATAAGTTGAACACCAATAGAATTTTTTTCTGTATCACAATAATTTGTTATCTGTATAGATTACTCATATATATTAATCTAGTTAAACAAAGTAGACAAGTTTTTCTTTTCAATATATTTTTGCATCTTTTTAAAACTATATCTTAGTTTTTTTTTAATTAGTACATATTTTTTGCATCAACTATCCTTCAGGATCCAATCAAAGCCCCATCACCTTGTAACTTTCTTTTCTTTCTTTATTTATATGTGTATAGTCTATATTGCACAACATATATAATTATCCAGGTTTATGCTTGATGTTTTTGTATAATTTGCATGGTTATTTTTTTATTTGGAAAAGTATTCTAAAATAATAGAATTAAATAAAACAAGATTTTCTAACATTTATCTTCATAATTGAAGATAGAACTTAAGGCCAAGACTCATGTATGCTGACTACCTAGTAATCTTTTCTTCTTACATAAATATATGATGACTTCAGTCAAAGTTAAATGAGCCTTGAAGAGTCATGTCAAGTTAGTAGAATTTTATTGAGACATTGAATTTTTTAATTTTAGCCCTGTTGAAAAATATCTATGCTTGGGTTTATTTATGTGCAAAATCATTTCATTGGTATTTTTCACTGTTTCAGAAATATAAGGTGTATCTTCTTATTTATTATTTATGTAATAAGTAAGTATATTAAATAATCTTGTTATTAATTTAATTATTATATTAAATATATAATATATAATCATATTAAGTATTGTAAGGTATTATGTAATATATAATAATGTCTAAATAATTATATTAAATATATTGATGTGATTATTATAATATATATTACATATTTAATATAATAATTAAAATTTTATATTTTCTAATTCTCATAACATAATTGTATTATTTATATATTATTATCTATATTAGTAAAAAGCATCATTTGATTCATTCTTTTTACTAAACACATAGATAGAATATCACTGTATTTGTATTGATGTTTTCTACTAGTCAATATTTCTTATAACTCTTTAGTTATTTAAAATATTTACTATATGGTTGTAAGTTATACTATTTGGTTGTAAGTCCTTGTACTTCTTGATTCTTATGTCCCAGATTACACAGCTTTTCCAATGGGACATCACTACTTCTATTAAGATTCTCCCTCTCTGTCCTGGAATTTAGCTCATCATTGAATTTACAGTTATGTGTAATGAACAAGCTAACTGTTCTAGCATGGAAACATGAAACCTCATTTGTGATAATAGGATTTGACTTGTCTTCTTTCTCTCACTTTTAATAATGTCATAATGTTGATGCATCTGAATGTAATTAGCATAAACAGTCTTAAGAAATGCTTTACTGTACCAGAAAATGTGGATTAGAATTTAAATTATTATTGTTTTTCCAGTCATTGACTTTTGGGACAAGGCCAAATGGGTTTCTGGTTCTTGGACTGTGCTAACCAATATAACTATGGGCATATGTCTTCAAGATTAATTTTATGACTAGATTTTCTTGTCTTCATGGCAGTAGCCTTTTCCTCCCAATGTCTATTGGAATGGATAAATTGTTTGGGAGGGGGGAACAATAGAAGCTAAAAACTCAAAGGTGGCAAGTGAAAAAAATCCCTTTCCTCCTAATTTCTTTTTCTTCTTCTCCCCCCTCCCCACCCACTACTGTGTTTTTTATCCTGGAGAAGCAGGGGGAAAGGGGAACATTCCATTTGCCCTGTTTCTCCTCCCTTTAGATAGTGGGAAATTGAGTCACGAGTCAATACTTCATTTTTCTACTCAGGAATTATTCATGTGAAGTGGAAAGTAAGAAACAAAAGAGAGGCTGGCTTAAATATCTTAATAACCATTGTATTTGACTCAAACTCTATCATAGCTGTATAGACAAAGACACTGATTAACAGGATTCTTATATGGAAGTAATTACTTAGGGCAGATCCTTGTTTGGGAGAACCAGTCCTCAAAGTCTGTGGCACCTCAGAAAGCCTCTGAGATAAATAGGTGACAGGCGATGGTTTCACTGTAACTAGTTGAGTTCTAGGGTGAGGTTGAGGACTACAATTGGACTTCCTCCTGCTATGTGAAATACCTCTCACTAGTTCCTGTCTTAGCTAAGAGATGAATATGATGTTTATGGGTTGGACTAAATTAGGTCATAAGTTAAATCTTGAGGTTTAGTAGTTACTATCTGGTGATTAGAGATCTTTTAAACCACTGGACATTGTGAGCAATTTGTATATTTCTGGAGATTTTAGAGAGTGCTTAACTGGGCTGACATTTTTTTTTTCTTGATCTTATTGCAAACGCAGTAAAGAACACTGTCTAGGAAGCCTTACCATATCCTCCCTTTGTGGGTGTGTTTAATCTCATTGTGCAAATAAATATTCTTCGTTTGTTTTCGGTGTAGGTTCTTTTTCTTAGACCTTGGAAACTCTGAAGAACTTTGCATATATAAGTGTTTGGTGTCTTTATGGGTATTCTGGAAAAAAAAAGAAGAAGAAAAGAAAGGAAAGACAAAGAGAGATAGATGAAGAGAAAAAGGGAGAAAGAGAGTACAACTAAGAAAAAGAGAAAGATGTCAAAAATGAAAGGTAAGTATATGGAGCAGAATGTACCTTAAAAATAAATGAAATCAAAGAAACAAATGCATGGTTTAGAATTCATAACTGTACTCTGAGTTTTAATTTGTTGAATAATCTAGGCTACCATATTTATAAAATAGGCATATTAATAATAGCATCATCATGCTGATTTCAAAATTATACTAATAGTCTTCTACTCAACATCTTCCTTAAATTAAATATCTATTACATATATATGTATGTGTTTGCTGAATTCTTTATAGATCATAAATTATGGAATTTTTTGCAACTTGAGTGTGTGTATAGAACATTGAAGTTAGTCCACCCTACTTAGAGATAGACCAGATTCTAGGAAAGCATCTCATCTTCGGTTTGTAAGTAGGTTTATATTCCTGTGTTGACACTGGTAAGAATGGCAGTGTTAGTATGGAACATTTTTTTTGAGGATTCTGGAGGCTGCATATAGATTGGGGGAGAGAGTTTTGTGACTGGTGACTTCTGTCTGCATGCACCCTGCATGGAGAATGGTGACAGGTATTTGGTATTTTGATATCTCTAATCTATTTCAACATCCTGAGTTTACAGGAAAAAAGCCCAGACATTTCTATGACACTTCAGAGATTGTGCAACTTATTCACATACGCTGACAGTTAATTTTTACATTCCTGTGAAGTATGCAGTATTTTGAACCCCAAGTATAGATGAGAAACTGATGTTTTTCAAGTTCACAAGTCAGTGACAGAGCTAAGACCAGAGGCAAGGCCTTATGTCTTCTAATAAAAAAAACCTTTCCACAATGAAACAAAAGGCTGTTGCTGTACCAGTTAGGAATGCCTCTGTGGGCACAAGAAAATCTGATTAGTGAGTGATAGGCTAAACAAACATAGTCAGTCCCACATGGTGCATTAGTTTCCAATTGCTGCCATAACAAATCACAAAAAATTCAAATAGTACAAGTTTATTATCTTATAGTTCTAGAGGTCAGAAGTCTAAATTCAGTTTCACTGGCACAAAAATCAAGGTGTCCATGGGACTATGCCCCTTCTGGAACCACCACGAGAGAGTCCCTTTCTTGGCCTCTTACAGCTTCTAGGGACAACTTGCATTTCTTAGTTTGTAGCCCTTTCCTCCACCTCCAAGGCAGCAGCTCAGCATCCTCTCTCCTCTCTGACTTCTGCTTCCATCCCCACTTCTTCTCATTCTGACTGTGATCTTCTTGCTGTCCTCTTAAAATTACCTTGGACCCACCCAGACAACCCACACTGATCTTTCCATCGCAGAATCTTTAACTTAATCTGCAAAATCCCTATACCATGTAAGGCTACATATTCACAGGTTTTGGGAATTAGGACATGGACATTTAGGAGCCCTAATTTAGTTGACTATAATAAGGTCAGCATAATATCCCAGAGATGGTGCAGTAACTCATAAGTCTATCTATCATCTTACCACCAATGTGCTGAATTTCTTTCTTCTTTTCACTCTGACTTCTTTAAAGTTTTGACCCATATCTCATGATCACAAGATGACTGCCATAGCAGATGGTGTATAATTCTTTTTTGAGGTAGGAAAAGAATGGAAAGGCAAAAGAAGCTTCTTCCTTTTCATTCAGGAAGTGAAGGCCTGCTCATGAGGTTCTCCCTCTGTCTCACAGGCCAGCACTCTCACAGGGGTCACCTTAGCTGTCAGGGAGAATAGGAATGCAAATATTTCACATTTTAGTCTTTCTTTTTGAGGACCGCAGGGGACAAAGAAGATTAAAAATGAGTTTTCAGTGAGTCAACCTCCTATTAGTCAGAATCCCTAGATGCAAACAGTAGAATTCACAGTATTTAATTTTAACAGAAAGATTTTCAATGTAATGTTAGATCACAGGATTGCTGCCAAGAATAGAGGACTAAGCTTATTGATAACAAAATCTAATGATATAAGGAGGATCATACCAATATGGCACAGAACTTTTCTAGCATAAACATCATAGTAGCTACTGTCCCTGGCAGGTCATTTGTGAATGTCATATATGGATTCCAGGAGCTCCACCATCCTATCTCCATGATAGCACCTGTCAAAAGATGTCCCCAAAGTGGCCACTCATATTGCTTCTATTTGCAGCCAGGTCTCTAACTAACAAAATCTGTGCATGTGTCCACCCATAACTGCAAAGGGATCTTGGAATGAAAGTCCCTTGGACTAGGCTATCTAGAAAGCAGAGCCTGAGTTAAGGATTAAAATGCTGAGACCTCGAGAGGTGTCAAAGAGTAAGGGTGAGGTGAGGAGAAAGCAGAGGTGGGACAAGGTACTGTAATGCATTTTTGTGTGGGTTCCTGCTGTAGTATTAGCTCTGGGTATGTGTCCATTGACAGGTTATATTTCTCCAGAGCAGTTAAAAGAGGAACTGATTCAGGGTTGGGGTTGTGGCTCAGTGGTAAAGTGTTTGCCTCACATGTGTGAGGCACTGGGATATAAATGAACAAAATAGAGGTCCATCAACAACTAAAAAAACATATATATAAAAAAAAGAGGAACTGATTCAGAGTGATCCTGAAACAGGAGAAAGGAGCAGAAATTTTTCCATGGAACTTCCTCCAATGTTCATTTCCTGTCTGTCAAGGTCAGTTCACAAGGACTAGATCCCTCATGCTTTAAAGTCGTATCATTCATACACTGGTAGCCATTCAGGAAGCCAGATCCCACTCCTGATACTGTGGCATTGCATCTAAACCTGGAAGCAAAGGGAAAGCCTAGGGTCAATAGCTTTAACATCTGGGCGATGTGGACCACGTGGCCCTGCGCTTCATGTCAGCCTCCAGCCAGCCTGTGGACTAGGTAGTTCATCAGGACTAAGTAGCACCTTCAGAAGGAAGGAGGCAGTTGAAGGAATCCAAAGATGTACCACAGGTCTTTGTCCTGTGGATTTTTTTTTTTTTTTTTTTTTGGTTTCTATCTTAAGAATGCTGTTTTTCACAAAGTAGAATGTGATCATAATATAAGGAGAGTGTTCAAAAGATATTGGGCAGCCACTCATGACAGAATCTATTGTTATCTGACACATCTGGCCACCTAGTTAATGAACATCTCCCATGTGATCCACTCCACAGCCTCCTAGAAATCATCACTTTTTTTTTTCTAGAAATTGTCACAGTTTAAGCTTCAGGAGGGTAGTACTCAATGGTTTTGATTACCATTGTATACTCAGGAACTAATACAATGCCCAGCATCGTGTAAGTGTGGATAAATATTTGTTGATTGGATGGATAGAGGAATGACTAAATGAATACCAGATAGCATATGATAACAATGATATAGGTGGTTATCACAGAGATTAAAACACTCTTCAATCACTTGGGGAATGTTCAAAAAAGAGAAAAAAAAAACTTTCTTGGTTGGGCCTTGGCATATAGTTTTAATAAGTAAAGCAAAGAGAATAGGGACACTCCAGGCAGAAAAGCCATGCAAGGAAAGACAAATGTATGCAAATGCTCTTAGTGTGTTCATAAGATGGTGGAAAAACCAATGCTGAATCAAATTTCTGGTAAGCTTGTTCCTATATATGTGTCTATGTATTTGTAAATGTGTGTGTGTGCATGTTTATGGATTTCTGCTGATCTCTCATTATTCTTCTGACTGGCCCACAAAACATTGTGCTGGAGAGAATGATGCCTTAATTCTATCACATCTGAACCTTGCCTGCGAGACATTTTTCTTGAGTGACCTGGGAAGCTAAACTCTCTTAATGAGATTATTGGCATTTTCTGTTTCAAACCAAAATAGGACCGATTGGCCTGCACTAGCAAGTGCTTTGCAATCTACACCATCTATGTTGTGGTCATTGCTAAAGTATTAGAGCTAACCCAGGAGACAGGAAGAGGCATTAGAATTCTTTCTGCTCTAGCCCTGTTTAGAGATATAGCCCAAGATAAAGAAAACAGTGCATTTTTTTTTCTTTATCAGAATACATCTTCCCTGTAGAGCTGAGGTTTTTAAAGAAAAGCCAAAAGGAACTTGTTGGTCACTCAGGGTGACTATTCTCCTAGCACTCAATGCTAGTTAAATCAAAGGACTTTAGATTTAACCCATTTGGCCTCAGCTATTTGCTTGTTAATGTGATGGGTGTGGGGAAGAGAATCCTAGAAACCTTAATCCCATTTACCAAAATACCAAAGCAATCTGCACCTTATATCACATAGCTAATTATGTCTGAGGTAAGCTTAGGAAATTTAGTCATTTGTTGAGGGTTGTTTTTCCCATAACAAAGTCTCCAAATAGAATTATCACGTCTATCAAATGTTAATTTGTCAAGAAAAACAGAATAGCTAATAAGGATAATTAGATTTATATTGTAAATAGAGAATTATACTGAAGGCTTCCATGTCTCCAAAAGGAAGTATGAAATATGACTGAGAGGGAAGTCTTAATCAACCAAACTCTAGAATTGCTTTCTCTTCAATGTACGACAGAGTCTTTCTCTGGAACCCTGTTAGGGAGAAAGAATGCAGCCTAACTTGGCATTTTAGGTTTTCTGTGAGATATTATGATAGCTACCCAGACAGTTCTGACTTTGAGATCCTAGTTCTCAGTTGTGACTTGTCTCCTGCAGAAAACAATGCTCCTTCATGTCACAGACAGGAAGGCGTCTGCCTGGCTCTCTTGATGAAGGACAGAGGTGAGACTATAACTTCTATCCCTGTATAGGGACAGACACCAGCATGCTGGTAGGATTTTTAAGAATTCTGAGATTTCCAGTAAATGAGGTTTCTAGTGACTTCCCTCAGCCAGTGGGTATTGATCATATTGATATTAAGATCTTGATCACATATTTGAACTTCTAGGAATCTAGTAGTATTTATTCCACATCCTGTGTTCTGTTTGTGCTTCCATTTCTTGTTTTCCACCCACAATGTCTCTTCTATAACATTTGTTATAATTTTGAGAAGTTGAGCTGAGGTAAAACATTGAATTGATTTTTACATAAATTAATACCTATTATTTATATAGTAGGTAAGTTATTA